ATGGAGGCAGTGACAGATTTTACTTTCTTGGGCTCCATGATCACTGCAGATGGTGACAGCAGAAACGAAATTAAAAGACGCCTGCTTCTTGGGAGGAAAGTGATGACAAACCTTGACAGCATCTTAAAAAGCAGAGAAATCACCTTGCCAACAAATGTCCAAATAGTCAAAGCTATGGTTTTTCCTGTAGTGATGTATGGAAGTGAGAGCTGGACCATAAAGAAAGCTGACCACTGAAGTACTGATGCCTTTGAATTGTGGTGCTGGAAGAGGCTCTTGAGAAGTCCCCTGGACTGCAAGGAGAACAAACCAATTGATTCTAAAGGAAATCAACCCTGAGTGCTCACTGGAAGGACAGATTCTGAAGCTGAAGCTCGAATACTGTGGCCATCTCATGAGAAGACTCCTTGGAAAGACCCTGATGTTCAGAAAGTGTGAAGACATGAGGAGAAGGGGACGACACAGGATGAGATGGTTGGACAGTGTCATTGAAGCTACCAACATGAATTTGACACAACTCCGTGAAGCAGTGGAAGATATGAGGACCTGGCATGCTCTGATCCATGGGGTCACGACTAAACAACAACAGCTGGAGGCTAGGGGATGTTGATCACTGAGGCACAGATTCAAATAGGACTCCATTCATGGCTCTTTTTACAAAAAGCAAAATTGGGAGCTCCAGATTGTATTTAAGCTAAATAAAAACACTAGACTATGCAGTTCATGCCTTATATGAGATTTCAGAATACGTCAGAGGTACCCATTACAGCAAAAACTGCTAGCCTGAAAATATATCACTTCTATGGTATGATTTTCACATTTGCCTCTTTCTCCTGCTGTTTAACAATTACGTAAAACCAATTATGTATAAAGCATTATACAGTCCTGGACAGAGACTTTACAACTACTGTACCTTTGGATTACTTTTGAACTTGGCCAATATTATAAGCTAATCAGCATTTGATTCATAGTAAACTCTTCTTTAAAACATTTCTCAACTATAGAGATGAATAATTCTTCTACACTTACTCAATTATACAAGTTCTCACCTTAAAAATGTATTTCACATGGATATGATCAAAAGGGATGTCCAATTTATCAAGCAATTCCAAGGTATTTTCAAAATTAATCTTTCCTTTTGCAAACTTACCACAGACACTTAGGAACCATGTAAATGGAAACTAGTTAAGGAAATCAACAATCTATGTTCACATTTCTACTTCTTTATTATTTCAGTGTTTAATTATATATTTCTCTCTAACTTACACATAACAACTGTCCCAAGAGCATGTCAACAGGACCGATAAGAATGTTGCTTTATTGTTGATCTAGTTGATAGAATAACTTTGTTTTGTGCCATTAACGTAGAACTTACAGCAACCCTAACACAGCTTTCAAGGATGTACCAGTTCAACTCTATCTAGTGAGTTTCTATGTTTGAAAGGGATTTCAAAACCAAGCCTTCTGAGTCCAAGCCATCAGTATCCACTGCAGTGACAGAATAACTACACTTTAAATAAAAACAGAATGATCACGAGTCAGTGGGTGAAGGGAAGCTTTCCTTCAGATGAGATTTAATATTTTAACTTAAAATGACTCCTCCATAGAATCATTTTCCTAATCCCTTCCAAGAGTCCACAAGTTTTTTTGACATGGCAAATTCTTTGGGCTCATAAGTAGGGGAGTCCTGCTATAATGCATTAATATATATTGTATATATATACTGTATGTATAAATTTGTAACCATTTCTTGTCTACAACAAATCCATAAAAAGCAGGTCTGGGCTATAATAATGTAAAACAGTATTATTTAAAGCCTCCTTACTTTTATAATTACAGTGTAAGTCAAATGATCAATGCCCTCCCCTGTCCCCCACATGGACCACTAAATTGGTGCAACTTGTTTTGCCACATAAATCCTGATTGAGTGTGTCTATTCTATTTGGGACTAACATCTTGGTTTAGCCTATGGGAACAAAGAAGCTGGGTTAGGGTTAGCAGGGTGCTATATCTTGAGGAGCAGAAAGCAGTTCTCTGGTATTTCCATGGGATTTAGGAGTGCAACAGCCCAGCTGCCCCCAGAATTATGAAGGAACATGGTTTCTCCACACTAAAGTGCAGTAGAACTTCCCTTATCCATGGAATCAGTATCTGCTGAGTCACTTGTCTGGGTCTGAAAATATTTAAAGAAAATCTTAGAAACATCCTTCTAAATTCTAGAAAGTTCACATAATAACGTTATCAGAGGTTGCCAATATAGGAGAGCCAGAGACCATGTTACGCCTAGCCTTCGCTACAATCCACGTTTTTCAGCATCCTTATGGGGAAGGTCATGGAACCGATTCCCATGGATACAGGGATCCTACTGTACTTTCTCCTTCGAGGATTTCCCTCACACAACACGCCCAAGTGTTGTCTCCACCGATGCCGAGGGGACTTAAATCAATTACACGGAAGGCGGCAACTCCCGCTCTTTGTAACTTCCCGAGATGCCAGCAGAAGGCACGAAGGGAAGAAGGATATTTGGCTTCCATGGCGGGCAGGCTCCTCACAGCCTTTCGCGCCTTTTCCTCGGCAGCGACCTGGGCGGCATAGTCCCTCCCTTGGGCCAGCCAGGGGGAAAGGGGTTCCAGCCCCACTCCGGCCGCTCCTTCCTGCCCTCCGCTCCCACTATTCCCCCTTACAAACAAAAGCGAAAGAACGAGGGGAAAATAAGGGAGGAGCGCGAGCACGCGCGCGCCCCAGGCGACGTTTAAAAAAACAGGTGGGGAAGAACAGGCGGGGCCGCCGCGGAAGGAGGCGACCTCGGCACGCGGACCTCTATCGCGTCACGAGGCGCCGTTCTTCGCCAACGGTTCTGCCGCGAGTCGCATCCCGCGATTGACAGCTCCGGGGACAAATCTTGCCTTCACCGCCCATTGTTCTCCCCGCCCCTTCCATTTAAGCCCCTAATCATGAGTCTCTCTCTTTTGTCAAGGCGAGGTAAAAGCGCGGGAAAAGGGGAACGGCTGGTTGCTGTTGTTTTCTGTTCTGGCGGGGGCGGGGTTGTCGACGGGTTTATAGAATTAGAGAGAAGGAAAGTGGAGGGCTGCAGGCTGAGACTACGAAGCCTCGGTTCATTCTTCCCAAGGACTGAGCCCTCTGGGGGGGGGGGGGGGAGAGTGTCGACGGGTTTATAGAATTAGAGAGGAGGAAGGTGGAGGGCTGCAGGCTGACACTACGAAGCCTCGGTTCATTCTTCCCAAGGACTGAGCCCTCTGAAGCAAATCATCTGTCATACCATATGTTATTAGCACTCAGTTACACAGAAATAAAGAAAAGCAATGAACATGGCGACTGTACTATTAAACTTCACACAATATTGTAGTAACAAAGATCAGGCAAGGCTCCACAAAACAGCTTTCCAAAATTTAAACTGGGCGGTAGGTGGGCTGTTTGGATCAGGGATTCCCAACCTTGGGGAAACCAAGTGTTCTTGGACTGCAACTCCCAGAGGCCTTCCCCACCAGCTGTGCTGGCTGGGGTTTCTGGGAGTTGTAGTCCAGGGGGTACCTCGGAGAGCTCCCTGTTTGGCGACGCATGTCCTCCATTTAGGTTGGACGTGAGTGGACATCCTATGATCCAGTGAGTTTTCCTGGCCAAGCAGGAAAAGTAAAGGCTTTAAACTGTAAATATACCTAATCAGCCCTTTCATTTTTAAAGTAAAATTGTTGGGGGCGGGGCAGGCAGTTTTAGAAGAAAAGGCACAGACTGCACACATGGATATATAATTATTGCTGAAGCGCTGGAAGGATATGGCAAGGCATGTCAGTTCTGTATGAATTTCTGATGTGAGGTTGGTCTCAGGACTGGCTATTCTGAAAGCACTGGTCAAAGCATTCTTTGGAAATAACTGATACTGTATTTGCCTAGCAAGATATTCCAAGAGTGATCAATATTTATTTTCATACCATATCTATTCTCATTTTCAGTACAGTGCATAAAATGCAAAGTACAGGACATTACAGAGAGCTGTTAAACATTATGCCTCATTCATTCATTAATTTATTTGATTTCTATTCCATCTTTCTCTCGATGCTGTGTCTCAAGGTGGTTATCTAATCACAGTTGTGTTCACTATGGAGAGCAGTAATGTAGTTCCACTTGAATTACATTAATGTCTAATTATGATAGTTGTATATAATTAGCACTTGCAAATTTAATGCAAACTTATCTTAATTTTATGAAGAACATTTTCCTTTTTGGTGTCTCTTGTCCTCTGTGAACTTCTTTATGGTGCTGTTTGGCCCCTCTTTTTTTATTGGAATGGAACAGTGGCCACCTCATCCACAACCCTCCATTTTTGAGGCAAGGATTCTAAATAAAATTTGGCCAGTAACTGAGTGAAATGGAGAACAGACTGCGAAGTCTTGCCCAGTAGTCTTTCTTTTTATAAAGATATAATGCATCTGAAGAAATGGGTTGCAATCTTTGAAAGCTTATACCAAATAAAATTTATTAGTCTTATAATCGCCACAAGACTCTTTCTTGTTTCTGTTCAGTTTTGTTATTCTTGCACTGACAGGAGAAGATACAGGTAGACTAAGCTGAAGGGGACACAGCCTCTAAAATGTTGGAGTGGAGCACCCCTACCCCTCCAGCTCACAAACACTGAAAATACAACTTTAAAAGAAGCAAATGGCACAGTATCACAGCTCCCCGCGCCCCTTTCTTGTGAGAAATGATTTGTCTTCCTACATTTTTTTGTGAATCTGTAGCTATTTTTTCCCTTCCTCAGCCATTGTGTTTTCTGTCAATGATAGTGCATTTTCTTCTGGCAGTATTGCTATGAGGGAAGCACAAACATAAAAGCAGAATATGATTTTCCAAAATCTTCCATTAAATATTTGTTCAGTAGGACTATACAGCAAATCCCCTTCACGGATCGCTGCCTTCTCGTGGTGAAGGGGCTTGAGTAATTCAGGGAAGCTATGGGCTATGGGAAAATTGGAGGTATTAGAAGAACATTTTGTGCAAAGATGGACATGATAAAGGACAAAAATGGGAAGGACCTAACAGAAGCAGAAAACATCAAGAAGAGGTGGCAAGAATACACAGAGGAATTATATCAGAAAGATTTGGATATCCCGGACAACCCAGATAGTGTGATTGCTGACCTTGAGCCAGACATCCTGGAGAGTGAAGTCAAGTGGGCCTTAGAAAGCCTGGCTAACAACAAGGCCAGTGGAGGTGATGGCATTCCAGTTGAACTATTTAAAATCTTAAAAGATGATGCTGTTAAGGTGCTACATTCAATATGCCAGCAAGTTTGGAAAACTCAACAGTGGCCAGAGGACTGGAAAAGATCAGTCTACATCCCAATCCCAAAGAAGGGCAACGCCAAAGAATGCTCCAACTACCGTACAATTGCACTCATTTCACACGTTAGCAAGGTTATGCTCAAAATCCTACAAGGTAGGCTTTAGCAGTATGTGGCCCAAGAACTCCCAGAAGTACAAGTGGGATTCCTAAGGGGCAGAGGAACTAGAGACCAAATTGCTAACATGCGATGGATGATGGAGAAAGCCAGAGAGTTCCAGAAAAATATCTACTGCTGCTTCATTGACTATACAAAAGCCTTTGACTGTGTGGACCACAGCAAACTATAGCAAGTCCTTCAAGAAATTGGAGCGCCTGAACACTTTATCTATCTCCTGAGAAACCTATACGTGGGACAGGAAGCAACAGTTAGAACTGGATATGAAACAACTGATTGGTTCAAAATTGGGAAAGAAGTACAACAAGGCTGTATATTGTCCCCTGGCTTATTTAACTTATATGCAGAATGCATCATGCGAAAGGCTGGACTGGAGGAATCCCAAGCCGGAATTAAGATTGCTGGAAGAAATATCAACAACCTCTGATATGCAGATGATACCACTCTGATGGCAGAAAGTGAGGAGGAATTAAAGAACCTTGTAATGAGGGTGAAAGAGGAGAGTGCAAAATGGTCTAATACTCAACATCAAAAATACAAAGATCATGGCCACTGGTCCCATTACCTCCTGGGAAATAGAAGGGGAAGATATGGAGGCAGTGACAGATTTTACAAGACGCCTACTTCTTGGGAGGAAAACGATGACAAACCTAGACAGCATCTTAAAAAGCAGAGACATCACCTTGTGAACAAAAGTCCAAATAGTGAAAGCTATCGTTCTTCCTGTAGTGATGTATGGAAGTGAGAGCTGGACCATAAAGAAAGATGACTGCTGAAGAACTGATGCCTGAATTGTGGTGCTGGCAGAGGCTCTTGAGAGTCCCCTGGACTGCAAGGAGAACAAAGCTATCCATTTTGAAGGAAATCAAACCTGAGTGCTCACTGGAAGGACAGATCCTGAAGCTGAGGCTCCAATACTTTGGCCATCCCATGAGAAGACTCCTTGGAAAAGACCTTGATGTTGGGAAAGTGTGAAGGCAAGAGGAGAAGGGGACGACAGAGGATTAGATGGTTGGACAGTGTCATTGAAGCAACCAACATGAATTTGACACACCTCCGGGAGGCAGTGGAAGACAGGAAGGCCTGGCGTGCTCTGGTCCATGGGGTGACGAAGAGTCAGACATGACTAAACGACGATGATGGGCTATGCCGTACAGGGACACCCAAGACAGACAGGGAGGATGGGCTTTCTTGGCACGAAAGCAGTGATACCTAGACAGCATCTTAAAAAGCAGAGACATCACCATGCCGACAAAGGTCCATGTAGTGTTCACCCTTATTATGCTAAATGAGTCATGTATTATTCATGTATTAGGCAAATGTGGTGGAGAGGTGGAGCCGAGAGAGAGGTTGAAAGGCAGAGCCTGAGAGGAGGAGTAACTCAGTCAAGAGTCAGGCAGGAGTGAGTCAGTGAGAATTAATCAGAGTCAGAGGGTCGGAGAGAAAAGGAACAGATTAATAGAGCTAAGCTGGTAAAGATAAATAGATAGAGAAGGTGGTAATTAATTATATGGCAAGAAGAAACTATAGAGAGACCTGTGAATGATTTGATTTTGCACAATGAACAACTGTAGATCATCTGTGATTATAATTAACTTTGCTACACCTCAATAAATAAATTCTGTTTGCCTCTACTAGACAAGTGTTTGGACAAACGTCTTTTATATTGTAGATAGTGGTAATCCACTGGTGGCAGTGAGGGAAACAAAGACTGGAACCTTTGTGAGGGCACAAGAAGTAGGAGCTTCATAAATGTGAACGTCACAGTCCGCATAGTCAAAGCTATGGTTTTTCCATAAAGAAGGGTGACTGCGAAAGAATTGATGCTTTTGAATTGTGGTGCTGGAAGAGACTCTTGAGAATCCCCTGGACTGCAAGGAGAACAAACCTATCCATTTTGAAGGAAATCAACCCTGAGTGCTCAGTGGAAGGACAAACCCTGAAGCTGAGGCTCCAGTACTTTGGCCATCTCATGAGAAGAGAAATCTCCCTTAAGAGTGTTAGTACAGTGGTGGTACTACCTCTGAGTTAGATAGACAAAACATGTCTTGCAGCTTGCCCTTTCTCACAGGGATGGAAATGCAAACATACTAGTTTGTTCCAGCATGGCATATTGGCAATCTTTCTAGAGTTTTTATCATGACAGAGATTTCTAGGGTATAGGAGATATCCTATATCACTGGGTTTAGGAAATGTCTTTTTGGAAGAGTCCTTTTAAAGATAGATACTTGCATGTGTGGTGATTTGTCAGCTCTTCCGTAATATTTTTTTTTCAGATTTGGAGCTTCTTCTGTCCCTAACTAATCAGGAAGAAAGATCCTTAGAGAACCCCCACCCACACATGATTTCTGGATTT